AACTCGTGATATAAATATTACAACGAAGATATAGATTCGTCATTTTTTTAAATATATATATATATATTTTTTAACGATAGCGAGGAGAACAAAATAGAAAAAAAAAGTGGCGAGGAAGAAGCGAAAAAGCTCGAGTTTTAATCCCGCGGAGGAATTATACATTCGCGAGCGGTGTGGGAATGTAATCCAGTGACAGTGAAATTAATGCTTGAATATTCAAAACTCTCGATCCACTCCGCTCTGGCTCGAGTCTTGTTTGCTGAATATTCGATTATTCGAATAAACCAATCCTCCTCGTTCCGAAACCGAGCTCTTGATAACAGCGGGGCTCCGATATAAAATACTCGGATCGAAAAAGAAGGGGGGAAAAAATAAAAGAAATTTCTCTCGTAACGATCGTGGGATCGTTCACGGATCACGATTTCTCTGAGGGAGGAAAAGGAGAGGGGGAGAGAAAGGGGAGGGTCGCGCAGGAATGGGAGAAGGAGGCAGGCAAATTGTTCAGAGCTCGCTCCTTGACTCGAGAACCATTCGTTCAATTTTCCGCCAGGGCCATTTCATCGACCGCATAGTTTCGAGGCGCCGGCCGACACATAAATTTTCGTGGCGGAAAAACAGCCCCATGCCGACCCACTTCAAACTCCCGACAACCGACGCCACCAAACACCGCGTGTGTTTCGAATTCGTGCTCATTCTTTCATTTCTCGATTCCGTTTTCCATTTTTTCTCCTCCGTTTTTTACGACTTCCGACTCGAGTTGGGGTCAAAATTGCTCGAGGGGGATGAAGATCGTCATTAGGATCGCGGATGACGTTAAAAAGGAGTCTATAGAAACGAGGGGAGGAGAAATTGAGTTGAGACGTGTCACAAGTTTGAAATAATATGGATGAATGCAATGATAATTGCGATGGAAATAAGATTGAATAAGATTGAATTTTTGTACGATTCGTGTTGTGTTAAGAAAAATAAAGATGTAAGGCGTTAAAAAGGAGTCCGTATGTGTCAAAAGTTTGAAATAATAGCGAAGATCGGTATGCAAGAAAAATAAAAAAAAGAATGGAATGTGTTGGATTGGAAGTGCATCATGGTACAGGAAGAAGGTGAAATTTGAAGAGTTATACGTACCCCGAAGAAGGAAATCAGCGTGGTATAATTTAACTGTTGAGTAACATTCTTGTGTTCAACGCGATTATCCCTTCGATTTTCAATCATAAAGTTTTTCTTTCGAATTCCAAAGAAGTTTGTCCTTACTCGCTGATTGCTTCCTGCAAATTTGATTTTTAAAAATTATTAATAGTTATAATAAATCACTTACCAATTTAATTTCTTCCTTTTCCCGAACGTTGAAATTAGAAAAATAACTTTCTCCGTAATTTTCCTTTGTAACAACCCCACGCTTTCTAGTAGTAGTTTTCAAAGCGAGCAAGAGAGAGAGAGAGAGAGAAAAAAATAATTCCAATTTCCAATCAAACATTCTCAGGATAACAATAAATTCTCCCTTTCACGATAATTTCATTAATTATCAAATCACGAAATAACTTGCTACGGCCTTCCTCCCCAGCTCTTTCGACTCTTCCTCGATAGAGATATTTAACCAATTAAACGGGAACAATGCGAATAATCAACGACGATAAATCCATTCTCCCGTTATCCTCGTTAACGAGAAATAATAATAATAATAATAATAACACCCTCTCGATCGAAAACAAAACCAAAAACCGAAAAAAGAAACCCCCTCTCTCCCCTCTCATTGAAGAAAAAAAATTGAAGATAAATGAAAAAAAGAATAAATGAAATCTTTCCAGACCGGTCTTCCGCCCACCTACGAGGAATACTTGTGCCACAAGTACGCCATGATCTCTCGTTCCCATACACCACCGCCGCCATGGTCGGACTCCACCACGTCGACAGCCACGACGACACCAACCGCGCCCACAGTTCAAACTCGCCGCGAATTGTTGGCAAGTCAACCAGAGCTGAGGGAATACCTGGCGCAATTGTCGCTCTCTCAGAACAACGACAGGCCGGCCGGCCATCACCACCATCACCACCACAACCAGGGAACCGTGCTCAGAGACAGCAGCTATCTCTCGAATCAGCAAGCCTCGAGGGAGCAAGCGAGGACGCAGCAACGTCCACGAGCCATGCCTCCCAGGTGAGTTTTCCAAGCTTGCGTTCGAGAAAGAGAGAAGGGGAAATAATTGAGACGACCGTGTTGTTTGTGACCAAGTCGTGGTTTACGACACTCTCGAGAACATTGGATTTGAAATGCGTTCCCCTTTTTCCCCCGATTTCATCGAATTCCATTTAGCGTGGATATAATCTTCTCGTACGTGGCTCTTTTCAGGTTTCTTCTTCTTCTTTTAAATGAATAGGTTTATTTGTAATAATTTTCAAATTCCTTTAGAATAGAAGTTAAAGAGGTTTGAGAATAGCTATATACATTTATTCCAGTCTTATTTCGAGCTTCTCTCGAACTTATTAAATTATCTTTCGAATCGTCCAAATCTAATATTTAATTCCATTTATAAATCGCGTGACAACGTTTAAAACATTTACAAATGTATGTAAATCTCCCGATTTCAGATCCCAGAGCGAGAGCCGCGTGCAACAGCAGAGAATCGCGACCATGTACGAGGACGGCGCGTTCTGCATGGAAACGACCGCGCTGCAATCGGCGTTCGAGAACGGGATAGCCTTGTGCAGCCTGATGTAATCGGCAAGCCCACCGATGTCCCAGGGAGGGGGAGGAAGGATGATCCCAGGAACGAAATCTTTTTTTTTCCCCCCCTTTATTCGAGGCCACCGTTCGAAGAAGAAGAAGAATTTCATCGTGGATGCAACGAAGCGAAGCCCAATGTCGAAGTTCTTCCCCCGACAAATCCCTTTCGTATCGATCTCCCTTTCCTCTTAACCCCCTCTTCTTATCTTCTTACCTCTATCTTCATCGATGGAGATGGAATCGAAAAAGTTTGCGAACGATTAATTAATTACTTCGTTCGCACAGAAGGATCTGTGTGGGACGACCAGAGAGGGATTTCGCCAATTTTTCAAGCTAATTTTCAAGTCGGGCAAAGTCGTCGAGGGTGTTCACGATCTACGCTCTGGATAACGGACTTTGTCTCGAGGAATAGTCGATCTTGCGAACGATTCTTTTAATACAGATTGGGATAAATAATCGATTAAATTAAACGCAGAAAGGTTTCTCTCCCCTGTCTCTAGTGGTTTTATTTATCAAGAGTTTCTCGAGCAAAGATCTACGCTCTGGAGCTTTGTCTCGAGCAGTGATTTTATGAACGATTCTTTTAATACAGATTGGGATAAATAATCGATTAAATCAAACGCAGAAAGCTTTCTCTCCCCTGTCTCTAGTGGGTTTATTCATCAAGAGTTTCTTGAGCAAAGGACAAATATAATATAGATTTTCGACTGCATCTCGTTTCCAATAACCTTTGAAGTTCTTTTTCCACGAGGCAATTATCATTCGCACGAATCTTTCCTCGAATTATAGCCGAGGCATTGTCCTCGAATGGTTGATAACCGTTGGTTAATTCAATTCTGAGGGATCGCACGAGTCGGGATTCGGGGGAGTGGCAATTCCATTCGTTGCTCGAGCATCGCAATGGAATGTTGGAGGATAACTCGCTTTCGACGAGTTCATCTTCGTTCCGTGTAGAAACGAAATATTTCGCCATTGCTTTCGTCCTTTCTCGTCGATTCGCGCCTAACGGAGAGAATAACCAAGTTTGAAGTTTCTGAATTTAATCTTGGTATCTCGATGACTTTTGATCACTTCGATTTTCTATTAAATTGACGCGATTACGATATTTCGTTTCTTTACGAATAAACTCGAGATATCTTCGGTTCCATTTATAATCGTTTTATTGAGTAAAACATTGATATTCTTCTACGATTTATACGATAACTTTATATACTTATTTTTCATTTATATTTTTGCGATTTATTTTAATTTTATTTTAATTTACGCCAAAACTTTATCGTTCTCGAGTGTCTGATATACACAATTGTATATAGGTTTGATCAGGAGTTGGAGGAAGAGGGAAGTAATGAGAAACGGAGAAAGATGCAGGCCTAATTTTCACGTGTATAGAATAGTTTCTCCTTTTTATTTCAACCGGTTTCCTCGATAGAATTCTATTTTTTCTACGACTTTTACGCTCTTGTTTCCAACCAGATTTGTACGAATTTGTCGCGATTCGAACGGCACTACGGTCGTTCTGCCATTCCATCATCCGATGCGATTGTTTATGCAAATGGGCTTATGATTTTGCATTTAGAAGGACACGTGTACGACAATTGTAAATGCTATGGATTTTTGTATAGCTCGATATTGGTTTCCATTACGATATTGTACACGATGTCTGCTAATTCACGAGAGAAATAGAGTTAGAGAGATTTTATAAAGAGGGAAATAATTCAGGTATTCGCCTGTTTTTTCAGATGTATAAATATTTAATCGAACATTGAATTGAATTACGATGTTATTAGAATAGTAATTTTAAATGTTATTTTCTTTTTTTTTTTCTTATTTCGAATCATCGAAAATCTTATCGATTCCACTCGCGTTCAAGGGACACCTCGTGCATATTTATATATCCAGTGATCATCGCTTCTATTCATTCGAGAGTTCTGTTTCCAGACACGATATTTCCTTACGCATGAAGGCACCATCTATTCTGCGAGCTTTGCGAGGGAGATCATGGAAGCCGATTCAATGAAACATCGAAGAAATAACTTGTATCCCTTCGAAATGGAATTCAACCTGATTTCCATCTGTGCACTGTTTTATCGATAAAAGAGAGAAAAACATTGTGCTCGGTACAACGTGTACCATAGATAATTTTTCGTTCCAATTTTTCTCTTCTTTCAATTCGTAAAAAAGAAAAATCGATCTCGTTTTTTCAGTTTTGAAAAATTTCATTTCCATCCTCGATGTTCGTAGATCGTCACAGTTATCGTCGATTTAAACGATAACGAGAGAACATTAAAAATTTCTATAGTTAATTTCTGTATAGAGACGTGTCGATCTTTACGTGTCCTCTTGTACATACAACACAGTATAGATGATATTAATAAACACGTGTCGTTGGTTCTCACGTTTAATTTCACAAGTTCGCAAGTTCAAGTTACTTTCGAGTGCGAATAAACCGGTTCCGTTCTTCGTTCAAACAGTTTCAGTTTTCTCTCGAGATGGAAAGTATTTTAACAATATTCCTGTAACAATACTCAAACGTTTCCTCGAAACGATTCTCCTCGAATTCTCTATGAAACGGATAAAAAAGATGGAGGCGTGACGAGTCGAAATAAAATTTCGATCAATTTTCGATCTCAACTCGATTATCCGAAAGAACACGTAAAAAAAGTATCTCGATCATTGATTCTTGCAATATATCGCCAAACAATCTTCCAACTCGTCGAAAGAACAAACGTTATCGCATTGTAGCTTAACAATAATTCACCGATCGAATAACGATACACCGCGGTTACGAATAAAACTTTCGATTCAAACTCGAAAAAGAAAGACTCGAGTCGTTCGCCATTAAAAAAAAAAAAAAAAAGAAACGCGATTCTCTCGATATCCGCTAATCATCCTCCGGTGATTAATTGTAATTTAATAATCCTCGCTAGCCTCGTAATAATCGTGAATAATTCGCGATTCGTGTGGTGGTAAATAACGTGATGAATTAATTAATCGTGTAAAGTTATCGAGCCACTCGACGTACCGTATTAGAGCCTTAGGAACGTAATTCCGTAATTAAGTAACGAACACTAGCTCTAGGCGCTACGAGCCTACGAATCTAGGTTGTCCTAACGGCATACAAAGTAAACGTAGCGTGTAAATTGAAAGTCGGTGCAAAGAGGGAGGGGGGAGGTTGGAAAATTCGCCATGTGTCGAATTTATTATCGCGTTATGACACGACGACGTCCCCTCATAGAAAACGCCGACTTTATTCCGTGTAATTTGAATAGCAACGACAGGCGGTTCGTAATTTGTGTCTGTCGGTTCGTAGAGTTTAAGAATCTACTTTACCCTCCGAGTGCGAGCGATTTCGCCTCGAGGATATGTATAATCGTATAAATTGTAAATATATATATTCGGGCGGGGAATTCCATTCTCCGGAATTCTGTCTTTAAAAATTTTCCGTTCCAAGAGTTTTTCCGGGATTTTTCTTTCCTTTTTTTTTTTTTCTTTTCTTTCCTCGTCGCAAGTCTGAAAATTAGAAAAATTAATTAAAAACGAAAGAAAAAATAATAATAATGATAAACAATCTCGCGATTGAAAATTTAAAGACAGTATCATCCCGGGGATAATGCCTCGTGTAGATTTAAATTAGGACGAGGATTTAAGGATGTAAGATAGTCGTTAAGAACTTCGTAAATCGTTATTATTACACTGTACATAACAATCATTATTACCATCGTCCCGTGAGTTCTCCAATATCCAACTCTACACTCTACATACCCGCGAAGCGATACGAAAAAAATATTGTATTTTCGCATCGAGCGAGCGTCATGAAAAAATGCATTAAAATTTCAAAATCTTTCCAACGGATTGCACGAAGTTTAAGTTCGATTGTACGTAATTAAATCGTGCGAAAACAACGTATATCGATCCAAACCACGATTCTCCTATCCTTAATATCTTAAATAAGAGGAGAACAACAAGAGTATCGTTCCCTCCTTGTTACTCATCAAAATTCAAATACAAATTTCGTTTCACGATGATGTTACCCCTTTCATTGGTTATCGAGATACTTTCGAGCGCGCGATCAACCACGACTCTTCTGCCATCCACGCGGATGGCCACGAAATTATCCAAATGCCGCGAGAATAACTCGAATAACAATCGCGGACACGAACGAAACCGTCATCGTTATCGAGGCGATTCGTCCATTCATTCAACGACGAAAAATCGTCAAATCATTTTCGTGTGTAAAAAATTAACGGGGATGATAATACACGTGTCGTCGATTCACCCCCTGCCTGGCCGCAATAAGCGAATAAACACGTTCGAAGCGCCCTCGAAAATGTCGATCAGGGGTTGGCCTCGGTCTCGTGGAACCATTTTACGGAGGAGGATCGAATAGGATGGAGAAAGAAAAAGGAAGGGGGAATTTAAATTCAGTCGCGTAGATTAGAAATTCGTGGTCCGCTTCTTCCGTTCGAAAACGCTTCTAACGTTGGCTGGTATTGATCCTGAAACACGATTGGAACACGAATCTTTTAAAATTCAACTTCGATTTATGTCGATTGATTCAATCCGAATACGGATATATCGAGGAAGTTTGTAATCGAGAGTTATCATCACGATTATAATCGGTGTAGATTATATTCATGTGATTTTATGAATTTGTATTATTGAATTTTAACTGGAAATAAAGATCGAATTTTTCGTCCCCGAATTTTCTTCGTTCCATTCTTAAATAATTTTTAAAATGCGTTAATATTCGTTAATAAATTTCACGAGTTCGAAAGGTTTAATCTCGTCCAATTTTACGCGTGTGATTCTCTTGCTCGCTGTCGAGTACTCCTCTCAACCAGCTTCATCCCTCTTTCGAGTTGCTTCCGCGAGACTCGAGATCCTCGACTTCCAGCGGACCTGACGAATTCGCTGAGCCCAACCCCAACCAACCACTTGATCGCGAGTTTCAACTAAATAATAAGAGTGCTTCGTTACGTCGCAGGGACAGGAAAATATCATCTGTACGTCTAAGCGCACACTATCGTTCTACGCGATAAGAGATAATAAATGTAAAAAGAAAAAAAAATGAAAGAAAGAAAAAAAAGAAAAAAAATATGTAATAATGATGTTTTACGAAAACGAGATATTTATTTCTATTAGAGCATCGTGGCTTCCAGCGTAATTAATCGCAGGGGGGAATGGAACCCAGGACTGCCAAAGAGCGAGAAACTTCTAAAATGCATAGGTTCTCCCGCACGAGATTAATTCGTGATCAATTTCCGTGTTTTCGACTTTCGTTTCAACGATCCATCTCCCGTCTTCTCTCGTCTTGCGTCATTAAATATCACGTTCTCTTCCGTTTCTGATAATTTATTTCGAACGATTCTTCGATTTCCGGTATCCATGCGGATGGATATTTTCTTCCATATTGTCTATTTACTTGTTAAAAAAAAAAAAAAAATATTCCTCTTGAATAATTGACGATAAGAATCGCGATAACGTAACGACAATGAGAGCATCCTCCTTGGATTGCGAATATAATTTATTTCGATTATTGAATCGCGAAAAGCGAAATGGAGAGGAAGATAAATCGTGAAACGAAGGTATGAGCGTAAACGAAACATCACGTTGCGGACAAGCGTTTCAAATACTGAGAATTAAGAAAATAAAAAGATGTAGCGTTGTAAAT